GAAGTGACAGAAAATTGTTTCATGGTTTTTGTCCTCCCTTCTTCCAGTTTTGATCCCAAAACGACTGAATTATACATAAGCATGCTTATAAGGATACTTCAAATATGTATGGTACTTCATCTTTTCAAAGTGCCTTTTCACATTCTTATTTAATTTCCCCAACATGCCAGAAAAGTAGGTGAGAACTGCTGCTGTTCCCATTTTGTGAATAAAAAAAAAAAATGAGACAGTTCACAGACGTCAAATAACTTGCCAAAAGTCCCACAGCCAGGTCCACAAATGTTTTTAATCCAGAGATGATTTTTAATCCAGTGCCCTTGTCATAACAACAGGGTGCCTCTCTGACTAAAATATAGGGTTTATTTAGAGAGTGTGCAATGTAAATATTTAGAACACACAAGATGCTCTAGTACTTTTTTGAGTAAATGAACAGCTATTTCCTTTTCTTTTCTTTTCTTTTCTTTTTGAGGCAGGGTCTCACTATGTATTCTAGGCTGGCATTGAACTCACTGTGTAGCCCAGGCTGGCCTCAAACTCACAGTGATCCTCTTGCTTCAGTCTCCTGAGTGCTAGGATTACAGGCATGCACCACCATGGCCAGCTGAACAGCTATTTCATATCACATAATTTGAAGTTTTTGACTGTCCATCACTTTCATTTTTAATTTAAAAAGCTTTATTGTGATTCTGATGTTTCCTTAAAATAATTATCTCTTTATAGCTCAAAATTCATTACTACTGCTCTCATTATACAACCTAAGAAGCCATCATAATGAGGCTGGTAAGAGGCACTACTCTTCTATTCTGCAGAAGTTCAGAAGGCCAGTGACAACTGAGAGCCCACAATCAAGACATGGAACAGGAACAGATACTAGTGATACCTCCTCTTGATTGCTATCTTCAAAATTGCCTACCTGCAGTGTAAACAAAGAATATATGAGTAAAACTCAACTTCTGAGTGGCAAGATAGGAGACACATTGAACTACTGTGTCCACATGTTCGAAAACTGGAAGTTCCTGCTGACACATTTAAATATTACCATGACAAGCTTAAACGAGCTCTTCTGGTCATCAGACCTGCAGAATGTCACAGGGGAGAGCTCAAAGGATGAGCTGCCATATCTTAAAACCAATCTACTGAATACATATGGCAACTTTTTCATTCACTATATTTCTCAGGTAAGTCAGAAGTATTACTGAACATAGAAGTTGAACATCTCCTTTTCACTACCACCCATTTTATATCAGTACAAAAGGTTTTAGACTGACTTATTATAAACCTGCACATATATGGATCTGTCTGTGTCTACAAAAAACATGAGTAGGGCCGGGGATTTAGCTCAGTGGTTCCTCCACCTACTTTGCAAGTGCAAGGTCCTGAGTTCAATCTCTGGTACCAAACCAAACCAAACAAAACAATAAAAGCAGTGATCACTTGTTCTAAATACCACTACCTAAAAAAGTTCTTGAAAGATTACATGGTATCTGATAAGAAAAATAGACAAAGAGATTTTTAAAAGATAATCTCATGAAGAGATGATCAAGCAAAAGACTGTACCAACACTACTCATCTGTATGACACATTCTGTGCTCATGAATACTTTAATTGTTCACTGTTTCAAGAGAGAGACATCTAATTGGTGAACACAGTGTGTGTGTGCATGCACGTGTGCATGCTCATGTGTGTTTGTTCAGTTATGAGCCAGTTTTAAAATGTCAGTACCAAAAAATATTTTCTAGTACTGAAGAGGCTATCTCAATGTAAGAAGCCAGGTGTGATGGGTACACGCCTCTAATTCTAGCAACTTGGGAGGGTGAGGAAGGAAAATCACAAATTTGAGGCCAACATGAACAACTTGGCAAGGCTCTTAGCAAGTTTCAAAATACAGAGTTGGTAGGCCAGGGATACAGCTCAGTGGCGCCGTGCCTCCCTGGCAAGAGCAAGATCCTGAGTTCTATTCCTGGTACTAGGAAAAAAAAAAAAGAGCTGGTGATATGTACCAGTGGTACAATGCTTGGCTAGCATGCTCAGCGCCTGGGTTCAAACCCTAGTACTAAAAGAAAGAAAAAAAGATTGAAATGCCAGGATTAAAAGATAAAATATAGAATTAGTTTTAAAGCAGAGTATGATGGTTATGCTTCACTGTCAGTCTGACTGGCTTAGGAGCCACTCAAGGTATTAGAAAAGCACATGCCTGAGTGTGTCTGGGTAGTCAGGGAAGTGTGAACCTGGTCCCTTGCCCCTTTGTCTCTAGTGCTGTTCCCCTACTCAGTTTCCCTGCTGCCCTGAACTAGGCAGTTTTGCTCTGCCGTGCTCTTCTGCCATGATCTTCGTGCCTTGGAGCCAGCCAGCCATGGAGTGAATCTTCTGCAAGCATGAGCCAAATGAACCTATCCTTGTTCAAGTGGTGTGTGTCAGTAAAATCTGACTAATATAAGAGGTGACAGTTTAAAAATGAAGGGGTACATTTTTTATCATTTAGTGATTAGGGGCTACTCTGGGGGTTAAGGATGCTGAATACTCAGAAATGATCCCACACAAGCCAGGAAAAAAATAACAAAAATTGTTTCATGCTTGCCTTGTCATGCTAATGTCCCAGTAGTCATTTTTAAAGATGAAAAAACTAAAACCCAGTGAGTCTAGAAACTAACCCTACTGTACATATTTTTGCAAAGCATTTTTATACAATTTAAATTTCCAAGTACTATTAGTATCTACTGTGTAAATCAAAGTTAAGATTACTTTTTTTCTTGAGAGTCTCCTTGAGTGGTGTTTGTCATTCAGAAACCCATGTTACCATCAGCAATACTGTTTGTGGAATGGAGTTGACAACACAGACCACTTCAACAGTCGACAGTGTATGGTGCTCCATTCAGTTATTCACATTTGGTACAACACCCTCTCCTCCTCCCCAGCAATACTTCATTCTTGCTGCATAGCCATACTTAAGTATTACCATTTGATTTTTTAATTTTTAATTTTTTTGGTACTGGGAAATGAACTCAGACTTTGTGCTTGTGAGGCAGGCACGGTGCCACTGAGCTAAATCCCTGGCCCTATCACATTTTCTTTATCCATTCATCTGTTGATGGGCATATGGGCTCTTTCCAAGATTTAGCTATTATAAATTATGCTGCTATAAACATGGATATGCTATCACTGTGGTATAATGCTTTTAGCTCTTTTGAGAAGATACCTAGAAGGGGAATAGCTGGATCAAATGAAACCTCTAGCTTTAGTTTTTTGAGGAATCTCCGTACTGATTTCCACAGTGGTTGTACCAGTTTACGCTCTCACCAATAATAGAGAAGGGTTCCTTTCCCCCACAGCCTCACCAGCATTTGTTATTGGTTGATTTCTTGATGATAGGCATTCTTCCTGGAGTGAGATGGAATCTCTCTTTGAATTTGGATTTCTCAAATGACCAGCGATGTTGAATATTTTTTCATGTTTATTTGCAGTGAGTACTTCTTTTTTTTTTTTTTTTTTTTTCTGTGGTACTGGGATGGAACTAGCACACCACTGAGCTACATCCCAGTCTCAGTACTTGAGAAGTGTCTATTCATTTCTGATGGCCATTTTTGGATTGGGTCATTAAATTTGGGGAGTCTGATATTTTTTAGTTAAGTATTCTAGATGTTAGTCCTCTGTCTGAGGCGTAGCTGGTAAATTTTTTTCCCATTTTGTGGGTTGTCTCTTTACTCTGTTGGTGGTTTCTTTCTTTTTTTTTGGTACCGGGGATCCAACTCTGAACCTTGTGCTTGCAAGGCAGGCAGTGGAACCACTGAGCTAAATCCCTGTTTGTTTCTTTTGCTGTTGAAAAGCTTTTTAATTTGACATGATCCTAATTGTTGATTCTTTGTAGTATTTCCTTTTTGATTGGATTTGTTCATAAAGTGTTTGCCTATACCTATGTCTTCAAGAGTTTTACCTATTCTGTCTTCCAGAAGATTAAGTATTTCTATTTTTATATTTAGATTTTTGATCCATTTCGATTTTAGTTTAATGCATGGTGAGAGATATAGGTCTTCAGCATGTGGAAAGCCAGTTTTCTCAGCACCATTTATTAAAGAGGCTATCTTTCTTCCAGTGAAGGTGTTTGGCCCCTTTGTCAAATATAAGGTAGCTGAGTGTGCTTCGAGTTGTTTTTACATCTCCTATTCTGTTCCACTAATCCTTGTGTCTGTTCTTTGCCAGTATCATGCTGTTTTTATTGTGAGAACTTTGTAGCATAATTTCAAATCAGGGATTGTGACACACCCTGCTTTGTCCTTGTTGCCCGGAATTGGTTTTGTTCTTCTAGGTTTCTTCTGGTTCCATGTGAATTTTAGGACTGTTTAAAGAAATCAATTTTAATCCACTGGACAATTCTATATGTAGTTATATTATGTGATTTTAATTTGAGGTTAAGAAAAGGAGGTGCTGGACTGGGGATTTAGCTCAGTGGTGCCACTGTCTTCCTCGCGAGTGCAAGGTCCGGAGTCTGATCCTGGTATCAACCCCTGCCCCCCCGCCCCCCAAAAAAAGAGAAAAGAAAAGGAGGTGCTAAAAATACTTATTATTAGAAAAGGAGTAGAGGGCCTGAGAAGGTTGAAAACCACTGAACTCCTCGAAAAAGCATTAATAATAGAAGACAGACTACAGCACAGTTTATCTGTGAAGCTTACACAAAATTCCTACGAAGAAGAAAGGAATTAAAAGGAAAGAGCATAGTATCTGTTACCTTTCCTTAATGATAATCTTACTCTTTTGCCAAAAGCATTGGATATTCAACAAAGCTCTTTCATTGGTGCATTAACCCCTGAGTAAAAGCAGGTTGTGACAGAGGACATGATAAAAAACAAAACAAAACAAAAAAACCCAAAAAACTTTGAGTTTTGGCAGGCTGCCAAAATTCTTGAACATGCTCAGGTTCTGAAGAAACATGTTAAAGAGAGAAACTTGATAGAAGCACATGCAAAAATAGTACTTGGTAGGTTTATCATAAAGGACTCACTCACCTGTGCACAGATCTGATGCATGACATGACCAAATTCGTGGAAGTAAGTCCTGACTTCATCGTGCCTGAGGAGAGAGGGGCGACCTGCCACTGGCTGTGAGAAGTTCACCACGAGAGCAGCCACAGACATCATCCGGGTCCCATCTGGGAGAAGGCAGCCCGGCTGGAGACCAAAGCAGGCAGCATGATTATATTTTCCTTCCCTGGGAACAAGAAACACACGAAAGTGTCATATCTGACATAAGTACTTTTAAACATTTAATTTATCTTTTAGAAAGTAGCACATTTTGCTAAAATGGAAAAACTAAGCAAACAGTAATCCCACTATCACTTGGAGCTATAGCTCCAAGGTTTCTTCTGTTGAAAGATCTTCATGTTAAATGAATGTATACCATACCTAGTGTGCAGTGACCAATTTTTTTTTTTTTTTTGAGACAGGGTCTTACATTCTTTACTGTCCAGACTGGCCTCAAACTTAGGATCCTTCTGCCTCAGCCTCCTGAGTGTTGGGATTATACATGTGTGTCACCATGTCCTGCCCCTACTATCCTATTTGTGTGAGTGTGCGCACATTATGTATGTTGGTGAGGATTAAGCCCAGGGCCTCACACTTACTAGGCAAGTGCTCTACTGCTGACTACAGTCCTACTCCAAGCCCTGTTCAATTTATTTTAATGAGCTCCTGCTTTTCTTCTTCAGATAGAGTCATTGAACATTATTACACAGCTAAAGTAAATTTAAAATAAAAGATATAGCTTACATAATGTTGAGGTAATTTTAAAATAAAAGAAAGTGTGCTTGACCAGATAAGTTTTCTTCTTTCAAATCAGAAATGATAAAAAACCCTTATCAATTCCAGATAAGATTTTTTCTTTTTTTTGAAGAGGGAAGATTTGGTGGTTGCCATTAAATGAGCTTTTATGAACTAGACAGTCTTTTTTGAAACTAAACATGTTAGTTAGCCTAGGAATAAGTGTACATTGTGCTATGAAGTCGTCTATTCTTGGACAGTGTGGCATCACTGATGGTTTCTCCAAAAGTTATATATCATTATACCGCAGGCTAGGAGTAGATCTCCTTCTCTTGTTCCCTCGCCCCCACCTTCCTGTTTTTTCCCCAGGAATAACAATACATTCAGATTTGAGGTGGATTATTTTAGTTTGACTTTTAAATTTATACCCTTTTTCTGCATTATATCTTCTTATGAAATACTATGTGTACCTGATTTGAGAGGAAGTTGATGTTATTGCATTGGAGAGACAAAAGGTGAATAATTTCTTCTCAAAAATCTTCACAGAATTTTAAAAATCCTACCTGAAAATCAAAGATTTTCTACTAATTTAAAAATCAGTGATCCCAGGCATGGTGGTGTATACCTGAAATCCTAGCACTCAGGAGGCTGAGGCAAGAGGATCACCAGGAGTTCAAGGCCAGCCTGAACTACACAGCCAGTAAGACCCCATCTCAAAAACAAAATAAAACAAATAAAAACTCCCCAAAACAACAACAACAAACACGATATTCTCAGGAATATCTTTCCCTTTTTATCCTTATCTTTTTTCTTTTGAGGAATCACTTTCCTTTTTAAGAATAAATTTGACTTATTTAATTTCAAATGTTTATTTTGAGATTCTGTCTTTTCACATTTTGTTTATAAAATGATGGGGACTAAAAGAAAGTCTTTACCAAAGAATCTTACCTTGAAATCATCAGAGTTTGTTTTCCTTTTATTTGAAAATCTCAGTTGTTTCCACCTCACCCCAGAAAGAATGGCTGCTATCAAGAAATCAACCAATAACAAATGCTGGCAGGGGTGTGGGGAGAAAGGAACCCTTCTCCTTCTCCACTGTTTGTGGGAGTGCAGACTGGTGCAATCACTGGGGAAATCAGTATGGAGATACCTCAAAGAACTAGGGCTACAGGTCCCATTTGATCCAGCTATTCCCCTGCTGGGTATCTTCCCCAAAGAAGTAAAAGAATCATACAACAGCAATATATGTGCACCCATGTTTATAGCGGCACAGTTTGTAATAGCTAAAGCTTGGACAGCCCAAGTGCCCATCAACTGAAAACTGCATAAAGAACATGTGGTTTTTTAAATAAAACGGAGTACTGGGGCCAGGGATTTAGCTCAGTGGTTCCACGCCTGCCTTGCAAGTGCAAGGTCCTGAGTTCAATCCCCAGTACCACCTCCCCCAAAGTGATAAAATGGAGTACTACTCAGTCATAAAGAAGGAGAAACTACAGACATTTATAGCTAAATGGATGCATATTAAGGCCATACTCTTAACTGAAATAAATAGGACACATGTGTGTATATACCGAATAGTTTCTCTTGTGTGAGAAACTGAAAGTGTAAATAAGGATTAAAATAATTAAAATGAATAATTGATAATTAGAAATAGGAAAAGGTCCAAAGGTGTAGGGGTGGCGGGAGGGGAAGGGAAAAGGAAAGAAGGGAAAGGAGAATCCCAGCAACCGGGAGGGGGCTCCCCCACCGCCATTCCACGCTCCTAGGGCAGAGAAGGTGAGCCAATCCCAGCACCTGGAAGGAAGCTCCCCCGCTGCCATTCCATGCTCCTAGGGCAGAGAAGCTGAGCCAGTCCCAGCACCCGGAAGGAGGCTCCCCCACTACCATTCCACGCTCCTAGGGCAGAGAAGGTGAGCCACAAGGGCACC